ACCGCCTTCGGATCCTCTGTCCCTCCTCCCCTCCCTCCCCCTCCGCCCCAAGTCTCCCCCCAAAATAAATATTAAAAAAAAAACCCAACAAACTCAGATATGTGTGATGCCAAGACTTTGATCTTTCCAGAACAGTGTCGCACCAGTAGGTCTTCTTTCTGGAAGATGCCTACACGAGTAGTACTTTTATTTCACAGGCAGTGAGACTAAGAAGTGACTTGGATCCCAGCTGTCCTGGGGATAGGAGTCCAGAGGTGGGATGGAGAGTGGATTATCTGATTGAGAGGGTGGGGGAAGGGATGAAGGGCAGAGGAAAACCAGAAAGACGGAGGAAGGGAAGCCTGGAGGCCCTTGTGCTCATCAAGGTGAAAGGTCATGCAGGAGCCTGGAAGGAGGAAATAGGAGCTAAGTTAAAGATCCCCTGCAGGCCGATGGGAGGGACCAGGTGGTGAGTGGAGGGACATTGGGAGGTGAAGCTGCCTCTTCTGCTCATTTCAGTGACATTTCAACCTCAAACACAGAATTTCCGTAATAAATAAAATGGCTTTCTGAACTTGCATCTCTGTTGAGCAACATACTAATTCAAGAAGGAAAAATTATTTCACAAAACATAGCTTTCCATAAACTACTGTTTCCAGCCAAACGTCTTCTCAGAGAAGCGCTGACCTTCTTGCCCCTGAACACAAGCTGCAGTCCCCAACACCGAAGCTCTTTTTAGACCTGGATGCTTCTCTAAGGAGAGACTCCTGATGTGGTTGGAGGTGAGAAGTTGGTTTGTTCTTCCCTCGACTGTGAAAGACTGTCTGGGAAGTGAAGGCCACTCCTCTTATCTTTGTTATAACCCCGCCCCCGGGGGCCAGGGTCTTTTGTGAATTACAGGGGTTTTTTTTGTTTTTTTGGTTTTTTTTTTTTTGCCCAGGAAAAAGACCTTATGGTGTCGGGAAAAGTTTTCCTTATCCTTAGGAACTGGCATTTTTTTTCTTGATAAACAACATGGGGCCAGGTGATTAATTCCATTTCCCTCATTCTTCCTTTGGCCACCCAACAATTATGAGCCAAATCTACAGTTTAATAACATTTTAGTACCTTGTGACCTGCATGCCCGTGCGTCACTTTCCTTTTTGTCATGTTGTGCTTTCATGATTATTTTTGTTTTTACTGCTTATGAAAACAATGCATGGCCACTGTTAAAAACCTGGAAAGTACAGGAGAGTTTGGTAAGGAAAAAAAGCACCCATGGGCCTATAACTTGTATGTATACCCGTAAATAGTTTGATATCTTTTTTCCTTTTTTGTTCGATTTTTTAAAATATGAGAACTGTACAGAATATGTATTCATTGGACACACATACATGAGCAGATTGAATATATATGTAAATCTTCAGGAGAAATTGGGCTTTTAAAAACAGCAGAGACATTTGGTTGAATAGGACTGGGCAGCAAGGGAGGAATGAAATCAGGAAAGAGGTGGGAGTAGCAGGGAAGTCGGGATTAATCCTAAACTGTGGCTCCTGGCAGACAGTAAGGTTACACTGAGAAATTCGAGAAAGGAAATGAGTCAGTAACTCAGAGGGAGCGGAGATGAGACAGCAGTGTGAAAGAGCCAGTGGCTTAGCCTGCGTTCGGGAACGGGGTGACAGGAGCTAAACGTTTCGAACAATAGCAGAATTTAGCTTTCAAATCAAATCATCAGCAATGTATTAAGTTCTTGTGAGCAATGCTCTTGCTTTTGGCATTCAGACTGGGAGCCACCCTGGACTTCATAGAAGCCGAGCCTTAAAGCAAAGCTGACGTCGGGTTGACTGGTGGGTCTGCAGAGGCTGGGAATTCGAGTGGCTTTCTTCTCAGAGTGGTTTCTGAGCAATGAGAACTGCTCACTTAAGAAAGACTCCCTCTTGTACTCTAGTCTTTGGGGAATACTGTGAGTGACACTTTTAATTAACAAATCTGCCGGGAACAAAACTCCTTTAAAAGCGTTGGCTGGGTATGGGGTTGGAAGGGTGGGCTGAGGAGGCTCCCACGGCCCTGGGGGAGTTCTCGGACTTGAAGCCACGTTTGAGTTGTGCCTCGTTGGCGTCAGACCTCTCTGGGATGGGGCCAGAGTGCCCTCCCAGAAAGCCCCAGCACTCTGTCCCAGGCGGTGGAGGCCAGCCTGTTGTGGTGGCAGTTCTTCGGCAAGCTGGGCTCGTTTTTACCACTTAGCTGTGGGCCTTTCTGCTCTCCCCAGTTTTGGAGGCCACAGCCCACTGGTTCAGGATGGGGAAGGAGAGTGGGGACCAGCCTTTGGGAATGCATCGTTCCGGCTCCTGTGTCATTCCTACCACTATCCCCAGCAGTGTCCTTAAGTGTCTTCCACTGCGTCACTCTGTCTCACCGTGGCCATGCTCATACTGCTTCTGGCACAGCACCAGGACCCATGGTCTCAGGGGGTCTGAGAAGGGCTCATGAGAGAGAGAAGAATTCCTTTCCTTCTGGTGCCATTGTGGAAAGTATGCAGGGCATACCTACCTTGGAAAACATGTTTTAATAGTGTGGGTCCTGAAGGGATGGTTAGTCAAAGGGTTTCTTCGCTCTAATTACTTGGCTAAAGGGAGTTTACTCAACTCTGACATCCTCATCAATTGGTTCCTCACTCTGAAACGACTATGACAAATCCCCTGAGGCTGGTTATGAGTTTCCACTTGACCAAAAGTTGACAAAAGGATTTTATGAAAGCTTTCACAGAATTACAATTCTTAAACTGAAGGTATAAATGAGACCATTGTTTCTTTCCTTTATCGTCTTTTTGCGCTGGAGTAAGTGATTCTCATTTCTTTATTTAGGTCCTACCCTCCCCCCCCCCCCACTTGTGTTCTTCTTAACAAGACAGTCTTGGTTTTAAAATTTTTATTCCTCCTAGTTCATTTAAAAAAAAATTTTTTTTTAATGTTTATTTATTTTTGAGACAGAGAGAGACAGAGCATGAACAGGGGAGGGTCGGAGAGAGGGAGACACAGAATCTGAAACAGACTCCAGGCTCTGAGCTGTCAGAACAGAGCCTGTCGCGGGGCTCGAACTCACGAACCGCGAGATCATGACCTGGGCTGAAGTCGGACGCTCAACCGACTGAGCCACCCAGGCACCCCACATTTTTTATTATATTTTTGAAAACTGTCGATGGCTTTTACAGTATGGAAACTCAACAGTTAAACTTAATTTTGCTTCCTTTATATCAAGCCTGACTTTTATTTTTTTTTTTAAATCACACTTTAAATGAGGCCTTCTTGGGAAGGCCTTTCCCTTTCTTGGGAAAACATCCAAGCTTTCACTCAGGCAGTGGATGAGTTCCCCATGGCAATAACTTGCTGTCTAGGATAAAGAAGTCTGAAGAGGAATTTTAGCAGCATTCATTTAGCAGCATTCAGATGTGAGGAAACACGCCAGAGAAGAGACAAATAAAACTCCAGGGCCAGGAATTAACAGTGATTTGGGATTAAATTGAATGATAGTAATAGTGGTTTGCGTTGCTAAAGATTCAAAGGAGGCCATTGTCATTCAAAATTAAGGTGTGTTTAATGAAAGGACAATCATGCTTCTTTTCAGGTGGATCGGGGAAGGTCCCTAGTGTGTGGGGGTTTGCCTAACAAATAGTTTGGGAGAGGTAAACCTAGTTGCAAGGCATAGAACAAAAGGCTGACGTTTGGTTTTTGCGGTCAGCTTTTGTGGTCTTTGATCAATATATAAAAAGCACTCTGATACAATTCGTAAAACAAAGTTACAGCGCGAGATGAATATGCTCATCTTTAAAAGAAAAATATAATGAAATCTCAAAAAAGTTTTTGGGGGCACTAGGGTGGCTTAGTTGGTTCAGCATCTGACTCTTGATTTTGGCTTAGGTTATATTCTTACGATTCCGTGAGTTCGAGCCCCGCATCAGGCTCTGCACTGACAATGTGGAGCCTGCTTGGGATTCTCTCTCTCCCTCCTCTCGTCCCCTGCTTATGTGCGCATGCCCTCTCTCTCTCTCTCTCTCTCTCTCTCTCTCTCAAAATAAATAAACTTAAGGGAAAAAAAAAAGAGATGATGGTGATGGTGTGCGGTAGGGCACATAAGTTACCAAGAATGACTTACGTTGTGGTTTGGGAGGAGGCAGACAAAGCTGGAGGTCTTGTCCCTCTTTCTAAGAACATATGGAAACTCTAGGCAGCAGCTTATGTTGTACCAGTTTCTCTGAGATTAAGTCACAATATAAATACTGGAAGTTGTGTATGACCAAAGTCTAATCATGTCTTTTCCCTCAGAAACCTTCATGCTTTGACATTTGGGCTTCTCCATAATCTGGCACTTGCCGGTCTTCCTACGCTTAATTCCTGCTACCCCGTCCTCCAGCTAAACAGTTGTTAACCTTGCTTAGTAGAACATAAGCTTCTTGGGGGTTTTATGTGTCACCTGCTTGGACCTCACAGTGCCTTCCTTGCTCTTAATAAGAGCTCAGTAGTGTCATATTTACGAGGTTGGTTTCAAGAGTTCTGTCTTTGGCTGGGACTGACAGAGGTGTCCTCATTATGTCAATTACATGAGCCGGGGAGCGTGGGAGGCTTGGCGGGGCGGGAGGGCCCGGTCTTGCTTTGGGAGAGGAGTTCACACCATGGCATCCCCATGATTGAATGACGGGGAAGCACCTGAGGAGCTGAGGACCGAAGGATCCTTGGCTGGGACAGGATACACTGGTGAGGCAGAAAGCCTTTACGAGGGTTTTTGCATGTAGGGACAGCTAGGACAGCTAAGTCATGGGCTCGTATTCAGAGAGTTCCCTGCAAGATCCCCAGTGGGGCCCTTGGATGGAGGGGTATGTGGGCATGCGTGACCTTGGATGAAAACAAACACAATGTGTCAGCCATCTGTAAGCAGACCCTAAGGGAAGAAGAGCCGGCGTCATTTAACTCTTGTGCTGTTGTTGGTGATGGTGATAATGATGATCGTGCTGACAATTAAAAAGATCATTGTTTTCCTTCTTTTAGTCACATAGAAAAAATCACCACGTGGCAAGACCCTAGGAAGGCGATGAATCAGTCCCTGAATCCGATGAACCTCCACCCTGCTGCCACTCCCACCCCGGCACCCCAGAGGTCCATGGCCGTGTCTCAGCCAAATCTCGGTAAGCCTAAAGCTTTCACCTGGAGGTGAATGAACAAGTGTTAAACCAAGGGGCTCTGGAGCTCAGAAGCAGCTCTGGTTGTCTCAGTGCCTCCTCATGCACCCCAGATAGCTCTTGGGTGCATTACACTGCCACCACCTTTGCCTTCCTTCCTGGCCCCTTTTCTACCACCTCGCACTCTTGCTACCTAGGTTTATGCTAAGGTTACGGCATCTCTTCCAATTGTCTTTACTGGAGTTTTTTGAAAAATTACTTAGGCCTCCTCTCATTCATCCAAGTCGGGTACACACCCCCATTCTGTGAATTTGGTCCCTGAAGACTGCCAAAGGTACAATTCTGGCCTCCAATCCCTTTCCTTCCTTCTTTTATTATAATTATTTTGCATAACGTGTGATTGACACCAGGCTTGGTGCTTTCATGCCTTATCACATTAAACTCACAACAACCCTACAAGGAGTGGTGACATTCCTATTTTATGGGTAAGGAAACTTTCCCAAGGGCATACAGCTTGTGGATGACAGGGTCTGGAGTTTCAACTGAGGCTGCTCTGACTTTAGAGTGCATTTAGCCTTTATGTGATTTGCAGGTGGCTTCTCAAGACAGCTGCCCCGGGACAATGCAGCTCACCCTTGACTTCATTTAGAATGCTTAAATGTAGTGGCGCCTGGGTGGCTCACTTGAGTGTCTGACTCTGATTTCAGCTCAAGTCTTGATCCCAGGGTTGTGCACTGGGCCCTGTGCTGAGCGTGGAGCCTGCTTAAGATTCATTCCCTTTCTCTCTTTCTCTCTCTCTGTCTCTCTTGGCACCTGGGTGGCTCAGTTAAGCATCTGACTTCAGCCCAAGTCATGATCTCACAGTTCGTGGGTTTGAGCCCTGCATTGGGCTCTCTGCTGCTAGCACAGAGCCTGCTTTGGATCCACTGTCCCCCTTCCCTGCCCCTCCCCTCCCTCTCAGAAATAAAATAAACATTAAACAAAATAATAATGCATTAAAAAAGCTTCTGTCTCCGGGCACCTGGGTGGCTCAGGTCAGTTGAACGTCCAACTTTGGCTCAGGTCATGATCTCGCGGTTTGTGGGTTCGAGCCCCACGTCAGGCTCTGTGCTGACAGCTTGGAGCCTGGAGCCTGCTTCAGATTCTGTGTCTCCCTCTCTCTTTTCCCTGCCCCCGCTCTCTCTCTCTCTCTCAAAAATAAACTTAAAAAAAAATTAAAAAAAAAAAAGATTCCCTCTCTCTCAAAATAAATAAATAAACATTAAAAAAAAGTCTCTCTTTCTCTCCCTGTCTGCCCATTCCCTGCTTCTGTGAGAGCTCTGTCTCTCTCTCTTTTATTTTTTAAAAAAAAAATTTTTTTTTTCAACGTTTATTTATTTTTGAGACAGAGAGAGACAGAGCATGAACGAGGGAGGGGCAGAGAGAGAGAGAGACACAGAATCGGAAACAGGCTCCAGGCTCCGAGCCATCAGCCCAGAGCCCGACGCGGGGCTTGAACTCACGGACCGCGAGATCATGACCTGGCTGAAGTCGGACGCTTAACCGACTGCGCCACCCAGGCGCCCCTGTCTCTCTCTCTTTTAAAAAAAATGCTTAAGTATGATTTTAGAATTGAGAAAAGATTATTTTCTGCTAATTGCCTTTACCTTAGAACTAAAATTCTTCCCACTAGAGATAATCAGATGTGAATGAATACACAGCAGCAACATAACTAATTAGCTTCTGTGGTAGGCATTTTCCCTGCTTCCAAAGGCTAAAAATAGGAGGATACTTTTAAAGTCTTATAAAAGATGATGCCATTTTCAGATAACTTTTCCATTTAAGATCAGATATCCAGATACTGCTTTGTACACAGAATAGTTAATTTTCGCGTGAAAAGAGTCTCGTGTTGGATTTTTTAGGAATGAGCAGGATAAAAAAGGGAGCATTATTCCCAGACACCTTCCTTCATACTGTGACTTAGCCAAAGTGAGTATGAACTCAAGTAAACCCGAGTTAGCTTCAAGTAAATATATTGTCTGTTCTGCCAGGAAGTCTGGATCTACCATTTTAAAGCTTGCAGATGTAAAATATATCCAAACAGCAAATGACTTGGAATAACTTCTGTTGTGTCCCGTATCTAAAGGGCAGATCAAGGAAAATGGTACAAATGCTTCTACCAACAGTGGTAAACCAAAACTTCCCATGAGTCATTTGTCCCCAATCTATAAGAGCTCAAATAGAAAGCAGTTGCAAGTATAGTAAAGAAACCACAAATTAGGTAGCATTAGACTAGTTTCAGTCTTTCTTTTAGCCATCTAGCTTTCATGAAAAATTCTAAAGACTGATTATTAAAGTATTAACTTTAATTTTGTAATGTATTATAATTGGAAAAAATCTTTCATGGACTTGGCTAAAAAAATTCAAACACTTTTTCAAAGCACTGTTCACAAAGTAAACTTTTCTCAGGTCCCCATTCCTTTTTTTTTTTTTTTAAGTTTATTTATTTTGAGAGAGAGTGCACGCATGTGAGCAGGGGAGGGGCACAGAGATGGTGGGAGAGAGAGAATCCAAAGCAGACCCTGCACTGTCACCACAAAGCCCGATGCGGGGCTTGAACTCATGAACCATGAGATCATGACCTGAGCCGAAATCCAGAGCCAGATGTTTAACTGACTGAGTCACTCCGATGCCCCCTGAATCCCCATTCCTTAGTCCTGGAGTCTTCTAGTGCTTCCAGTCATGGGTATGTGTTTCTTCACACGAATGCTAGTGTATTATACCTACTGTTCTTCACCTTGCCTTTTCTGCTTCTATATCTGTACATACAGAGTTGCCTTCTTTTAAAAGATTTCCTAGTAGTCCCACATATTGATACACCCGGCACCCCCATCTGATGGATATTTAGGTTGTCACTATTGTGTGTTGCACAATACTGGAATGAATATCCCTGTTTATGTGGTACTTGTCTTCATTTTAAAAAATTGTGCAACACGTAGAAAGTGGACTAATTAAAAGGAACTTGAATGCTTGAAACTGTTTAACAATGAAGGCACATGTGGGTCAACCTGTGCACCTGAGCCACCTCTTTCCTCACAGAAGCACAATTGGTTAGTAAAGTATATCTAAACAAATTGTAATCTGAATGTGGGAAACGTGTTTACCTATTCCTGAGTTAAAATACCTTAGTTTCCACATTTCTAATAAATCGAAGCAGTAAATTTCTCAAGACACACATTCTGGGTTTTTTTCCTAATAATATTTAAATATTTGTCCATTACACAGTGTGTTGCTAGCCCACACCGAATCACAGACACGTCCTAAGGATAGAAATATAACAGGGGGGCGCCTGGGTGGTTCAGTCGGTTGAGCGTCCGACTTCGGCTCAGGTCGCCCAGGTCATGATCTCTCACAGCTGTGGTTCCGAGCCCCTTGCGCTCTGTGGGGATGACAGCTCGAGCCTGGAAGCAATTCGATTCTGTGTCTCTCTCTCTCTCTCTGCCCCTCCTTTGCTCACTCTCTGTCTCTCTCTGTCTCTCAAAAATAAATAAATGTAAAAAAAAAAAAAAGAAAAGAAATATAACAGGGAATGCCAAGTGAGCACCAAAGACTGGGGATAATTTACAGAGTCATAATGTGGTCTTAATAATAAGTGATTTACTCAGAATATGTTATTTCAAGCTATAGCTCTATCCGTAGTTCATACTCTTCACTATCAGTGTTTAAAAAATATAAAGAGCAAATCCTTCTACTTTTTGAATCTAGAATTTTGGTCTTTTCAATATAATGTAACTAATAGCTAAGTGAACTTAATTGGTGTGTCTCCTTTATAGGGAGGTATTTATGTATGTATGAAAATGTCAAAATATAGTTAATATTATTATGAGATGATAAAATTAGTACCTTTTATAAGATAATTTTACGCATTTCTAGAACTGTGATATAATCTTTGATATTGCTTAATACATTCAGAAATAAATCTCCTTTTTTTTAAAAAAAATTTTTTTTTTTTAACGTTTATTTATTTTTGAGACAGAGAGAGACAGAGCATGAACAGGGGAGGGGCAGAGAGAGAGGGAGACACAGAATCTGAAACAGGCTCCAGGCTCTGAGCTGTCAGCACAGAGCCCGACAAGGGGCTCGAACCCTTGGACTGTGAGATCATGACCTGAGCCGAAGTCGGACGCTTAACCGACCGAGCCACCCAGGCGCCCCAATAAATCTCCTTTTATTGGGATTCTGCTTTACTGTAGTTTAGGTATATGGATTTGGGAATCAGACTGTTAGAATTTGATACATGGCTCTGTCCATTACTAGCTTCATGACCCTATGAAATTACTTAATTTTGCCTCAGTTTCCTTATATGTAAAATGAGGATTATTATCACAGTATGAAGAGATTATATGAGTTTATATGTGTAAAGTGCTTAGATGTGGTGCCTGGGACATAACAAGCTATAATTATTTTATTCTTATTACTAACATTATTCTTTGTGGAAGGAAAACTTTTATTTTCTACTTTATTCAATTTTAGGATGTTAGATTTGAAGATAATTTCATTGTTCATCATAAAACCTCACGAGAAACAAAAGATTTATTTTGGGCGAGTTAGAGTATAAAGTGCTTTAAATTAGGAACACTGTTCATTACTTTCAGTGAGGATAGCACCCTCTGGTGGAAATATTTTAGCACCCCCCCCCCCAAGCTTATCCATGGATATCTTATTTTTTTAGTACATCTATTCCTGAAATGTAATTTGCAAGTCCAATCATATTTTAATTGGTAGAGAAGAAACCTGTCACTTAAAGGCATTGAGTGACTTTGTAAAAATGGAGCAAACTTTTGTCAGGCTGCATCAGTATCCAGTGAAAAAGCATCTATGCAGGATGGCAGATTTGTTACGTATCTAAACTCACTGACTTTTCAAATGCCTAAGTAAAATGAAATTGACTCTGCAGGAGAGAAATGAAAAAGACAAATTTTTTTTTTCTTTTTCTTTTTCTTTTTCTTTTTCTTTTTCTTTTTCTT